TTGGAGGGGCAGAAAAGAAAATAAAAAAGAGGGAGGGCCCCTCTGCACCCTGATAGTGACAGGCCAAAGGAGAAGGGAAGAGAAGGCTATAGAGAGACAGTTGAGTGACTTTGAGTGTGATTGACTACAAGGGCAGAAAGCCCTTCTTCTTCTTACTCCTTTTTTTTTGCAAATGTCTCGCAGTCTCAGGAGCCATATCAGAGTGATGTGTGCAGTGCTTTATAACTGCTGTGTCACAGGTGTGAGGAGGAAAAATAACACGACGACTCTGAAAAACATTTTAAAATCATTTATTATTATTTCTAGGCATGAAATAAAGGAAGTATTTCTTCTTTACAAAATGTTTATGTGTCGTGTTTGTGCAAAAAGGAAGAACGGGAACTGATAAAAGAGCATCACTCAGGTGGAATAAGGAGAGAAAAAGAGAGGCAGAAACCTCTCATGCACCTGTGGGACACAACTGCACATGGAGTTTACTGGGAGAATGCACAACACTCAATGATACTTGGACTTCTCATGCTCTGTACATTCTCACCACTCATTCTCCTCACTCTTAAGAGATAATTCCACACCCATTGAATTCTGGGTATTTACTTAAAGGCATAGTTCATCCAAAAATGAAAATTCTTTAATTTGCACTCCTGCATGTCATTTCAAACCTGTATGACTTTCTTCTGTGGGACACAAAAGAAGATAGTTTGAAGAAAATTTCTGTCCATATTATGAAAGTCAATGGGGTCCAAAACAACTCTTGACTCCACAGACTTAAAATGTATGGACAAAAAATATTTTGAAAGAAAGACAGACATACAGCTTTAGACTAGCATGAGGGCGGGTAAACAATCAGAGAATTTTCTTTTTCAAATGAACAACCCCTTTAATGCCCTTTAGAATGTCATCGACCAATCAGGTCTAACCAATGGAATGGTAAGATACAAGTGAAACATACAATGCAACAGTTTCAGTGACATCCATGGAAGGGATGTTTTACACAATGGATTTGTCCAATTAGAGACCTGCGAGCCATGCGATACATGAAGATCAGAGTACTTCTTTTAGACGTCTACACACTACCTCCTAAATATGCATGACCACACTAGCACAGATAGACACTATGGGAGAGTAACTACAGCATGCAATGACAGACTGCAATGACAATGCATCGTTACTTTAGTGTCTGTATTTTGTAAAGCACCTTGAGCAAGGGAAAAGCTTTATATAAACTAAATTACTATTCCATTGGCGTAGTCTTGAGCATCAATTAAATCAAAATGACCTGTAGTACATGGCTATCTTGATATCAGAACAGGTATAGTCAGGTCCCACTATACAGCCTGGAGTCCATTCTGATATAAATCTCACACTGTGCTCTTCTTTAAATTGCTTCTGCATTCAATACCACTTAAAAAGGAACAGCAATTACCAGCCAGCCGGGGAGAAAGGGGACATTGCTAATTGCATTGAAATGACAGCTATCCAATGGAGATTGTTGCTAACACACTGACACACACAAACATACTCACATGCACTTGTACAAACACATACAGGCCTCCTGATGTTGCCAATTGTGAATAACATCTATAATCTCTCATCATAAATACCATACATACAACACAAGCATCAACACACAACACACAAAATACAAAAACAGACAGTAATCATGTCATGATACAAGACTATTATCAGTGGCAGTGTCCTGAAGGGTAATTAAAATCTTAAGTATGGTCTTCTGCTTTAAGACACTGTGATGATTCAGTGAGTGACCATAACAATATTGATTTTGCCTGGAAACCTGTGTGATGTGCATTACCGGGATGCACTTAACTGTGACATCATTTGCTGGAGATGAATGTAAGGGTATGTGACGTTTAACAGCCAATGGCATTAGCTGATGGGAGCATGATAGTTATGCTACACTATTTTCATAGGTTTTGCATTGTATAAAAGCTGATAAAAACCATTGTGGCTGCCTGTGAATGGTTGTGAAAAACTAAAGAATATGGAAAGTGTAGAGCAAACTACAGAACCTCACAATACACAATTGCCAGCAAGTTATTATTATGCATGTGTACACCATTGTGTGTGTATCTGCACATTTGTATATTGCTTAGATGTTCTTACTTCAATACCGGCTCTCTTTCTCTCTCCAAACAGAGTGAGGTGGTTAACTTTTAAGGTGGACTCAGTAATTTTATTTAAAATTGGCTCGTTAAAAAAATGAATAGTGGTTTTGAGTTTAATTTTACATGGAGTGGGTCACCTCATGGGTGCTGCTGCCATGTTGAAATAACTAGCAGAGATGCCTACTACTCATTTTATTTTAGAGGCCCACCTATTAACAGACACGTTCAATTATTGTATAAATTAATCAAGGCTGACTGCAAACAGAGCATTTCTACAGTATACCACTGTGCTCTGTTTGCAGTCAGCCTTGATTAACCTAAACCTAAAACTATTGAATTTCCATTACTCTTCCTCCAACCCACCAGGTGTTAGTGTAAGTTCAAGAACACTGTCGGCTAGCGCAACAAACAAAACTTACTGAGTGCATCTTTAACATCTCAAAACATGGTTTAGATGTGCTCATAATCTATTCTGTGTCAGATTTACTTACTGTGTAAATCTGTCTGCTTTGTCATGGAATATATCATTTTGAATGCTACAGTGCACATAGGGTTATAACATCTAGGGTTTGTGATATTTACATTATGAGATGTGACACTAAGACTATATTGGCTTCAAGTGTCATTTCCTTTCACTGATATTAAAACAGCTGTTGATGGCTGAGAAAAAACAAGGCCATTTTTGGAGGTTCAAAGGCATTGCCAAATATCTGATTGAGATTTGTAAACCTTTGATTGTATTTCAAACCTTGTGCTTTGCCGAAATAACTACATTCTATTTTTTTTAAATGTCGACATACGTTACAATGTTGTTTAGTTAATGGTTTAGTAGTTCAGTCAGGATTAAATGTGAGGTAGTAATCATCTTCAGTTAGAAAATCTACCCACAAACCTCCAGCTTGTCAAACCTGCCCATGCTTTAAGTTCTTAATACATATATTAGCTACCATCCGCTACTCACTGCGATTTAAGATCAGCTCCCATAGATAGTGTGGTAGGAGCAGGTTCCTGGGCGGATACAACATTAACAGGCAGTGGTGTTCAGGCTTCACCGGAGGCACCTGGAATATATGTAAACTGATATGTGAGTCTTTCAATTATATGACTATAAATCCAAAATTACTTGTGGAACATTTTAGATTAACCAGAAGCAACACAAACCATCTAGATCTTCCTATGAACCATGTCCACTTGCTAACCCTAACCCAAACAAAAATCAGCGGATTTAACCATACAAGATGTTCTTGGGCGAATTCACTGCTTGTGCCACTTGTTATAAAAAAACTGTCTTATTCACTAACCACCTGCAATCACTGTCATTCTTTTCAACACAAACAAACTAATTTATGTAAATTAGGGTCATTATAGATTCAGAGTCAGCGCTATTTACCATTGCGCTATTATCGTCTGTGGAAAGTGGGCGGTAAACAGAATTTAATTTAATGAGATGTCTGGGTACATTTTCAATACATTTTCGAACATGGGAGCAATTCATCAAACGAGGAAATGATCTTGAATGGTGTGCTATCAAACACACTTTTTAGCCAATTCAAGAGTTTGGATAACAGTGTGGGAGTAATGCTGTAAGGTGCCAGTAAAAGCATATTGGCATATTGCAGTAGTCTGCTGCATCCTCCACAACCGAGCACTAAGTTCCAGGCAGGAAAATGGGAATCTGCACTCAGTGCATATTTTTGGGGTGTGTTTGCATCATTACCTGATTTGCATATTTCCTTTTGGGAACCATATTCTAAAATAGCACTATTAGTAGGGTCAACTAATTTTTAGCAGACCCTACTCATAGTCCTATTTTAGCATATGGTTCCCAAAAGGGAATCTGCACTCGGTGGATATTTTTTGGGTGTGTTTGCATCATTACCTGATTTGCATATTTCCTTTTGGGAACCATATGCTAAAATAGCACTATTAGTAGGGTCAACTAATTTTTAGCACAATACTCCAGAACACTTGCTAATGATGGAAACAGCCTCACTACTGAGATCTATCAATCTCAACATGACTCACTCAAAGAACCAAACTTGTACATATTCACATATACTGTTGCCTTTGACCATTGTCCGAAGTTCTTGCTTACAGAAATAACTGAAAGAGACTTCAACAGCAATACTTTTGTTACTAGATGAATAGGAAATGTGCACCGTCACATCTCTGGACAAGAACATCTGTGAGACTAGAGTCCTAGGTTAGACTGATAGAAGAAGATTATCAAAAATGTCTTTCAGGTACAGAGTAGCCTATGAAGGTTTGTGAATTTCTTCTTTTTTTTTTGGCTTTGCACTTCACTTCAGTAGTTTCCTCGTTCATCCCCTTTGTCAAAAGGACATGTTGACTTGCATGCATCGAAGTGACATGATTTTTCAATCTTTCCAGTCCTCAGACAGCAGATGGTTGGCTCACCACTTTCTCAGTATCAATCCTGCAATTTAGATTCTCCGACTTGTCAAAATGGAGCAGAAATGATCCTGTAAAGAATGAAAATGATTAATGTCCCATGCCCTTCTGTGGCTTTCTCCAAATTCAACCACAGTTATCTTGGATTACGGAACTGATGATAGAGTTTATTTTCTCAATATCTTCATGCAGTGATGTATTATTTCTGTGATGGAAGATTTGTCTTTGTACACTTTCGTGGAATACCCCAGATAGTCTCCCTCATTTTGTATTAAATCAGCCAATGGTGTAAGGTCTGAAGTGCTTCATCTCTGTATTCGAACCCTTTTATGGGGTGATTAAATATTAGTAAACTGAGTGGATTTACAGTGGATCTTTCCATTGATGCTTGTCAATCGTATTAAAAGTGAGACTCAAAAGACTGAGGAACCCACCCCCCTTAGGAAGTCTTTTAGCTTTTCTTTGTTAAGTCAAGTGTCTAGATTGTCTGTGGTGGTTAATATAGGAGGAGGCAGGAACTAGGCTACGGTTTTTATCTCAGTTGGTGGCAGCTCCATCAGTGCTTGAAGGTGGTGCACTGTCATTGGGAGAAGCCGAGTCTAGGCCTCCACTGGAGATGAGCTCAGGAGTTTTGACTGAGCTTTTCCCAGTATCAGGGTTTTTTGGAGGGGTAGTGCCCTTCACATCCAGGCCAGGAGATAAAGGTGCACTTGGCTCCTTGGATTCGGGAGTACCATTTGTAGTTGGTTTCGAGTCGAGAATCGGTGAGACTGGTGGTTTAGGCTCAGGGATTGGAGAAACCGGTTTAGGATCCGGAGTCTTGGGATCAGGTGTGGGGCTTACGGCGGGTTTCTGTTCAGGGGTGCCAACTTTAGCTGGTATGAGTTCAGGAGTAGGTGAAACTGCTGGTTTGGCATCTGGAGTAATGGCTGGTTTCGCATCAGGAGTTGGCATTAATGCTTTTGGAGATTCAGGGGTTGGACTTGGAATTGGTTTAACATCAGTTGATGTGGCCTCAGGTGCTGGACTTGTTGGTTTCGGATCAGGTGTCACGGGTTGCTTGGGTTCTGGGCTTAAGGTCAGTTTTGTTTCAGGTGGTGGTGAGATGGTCACTTTTGGTTCAGGTGTAGCAGCAGGTTTGGGTTCAGGTGATGGCGTTACTGGTGGTTTAGGTTCAGGCGAAGGTGGTGGAGGAGCCGTCGACTTGGCCACAGGTGCTGGTTTTAGATCGGAAGTTGGTGCTGGTTTTGGAGGTGAGGGGGCAGTCTTTGGCTCTGGAATTTGGTTGGGAATGGCTTTGACGTCAGGGGCAGCAGAGGAACTCAATACATCAGAATCTGCAATGGCTATTGTTGGGGCATCAGTGTCACTATCAAGTGGGAGCCCAGTGGTATTAAAGCCCACTCCAGAGTCACTGGTCTCCATGTTCCTCTCTTGTAGGCTTGGCTCTTTAGTAGACACCTCCAAACCCTGAGGAACATACTCAGAACTTAGCATTCTTAAAGCATTAAACATAATTCAGCATTTTATACTGAGCAAATGCAAAGGGTTAAGATATAAAGATAGATCAAATGACTAAAATGTCTTTCAGCTTCCTGGTGCTCACCTTAATGCTGACCTCTGTGCTCTGTGATTTCTCAGTTATGTCTTCTTTCTGTGACAGGGCCGGGGCTTCCTCATTCTGACGGGTACAGGCTTCTTTCACAACCTGCAGAATATGAGCAAAGGGTTTATAATATACTCCATTATATAAACACAGAAAGACAAAAACCCTTTTTCTTATTCCTTTCATGTTGTAGAAGACATGAAATGAGAATGTAAAACATAAAGCAAATGTTTGTACTTTACATATCTATTATTTATTTATTTTCAAAGTTTAGGTGTGTCCTTTTTGTGGCACTTGTAAATGGAATTGCAAAGTTTTCAATCAGGTTCCCCAAACAATCTTCCTGTTTTTCATTGGTTGGTCAAACAGAGAGCTCCACCCTCCAAATTACGTCATTGGTTGATCTAATGTTGCTCTGTTGAGCTGGTCAGGATTCTGTTTTGATAGTGTCACAGAGCCACAGTCTGTAGACCTTTTGAGGAAATCAACATATGAATTGATTATTCAGCTAAATAAAAAGTAATAAAATGTATTTTGTTTTTAATAAAACTTTTGTTCCCTACAATATTCACAGAAAAATCTGTGAATTTTTCGCTTTGCTTTGACCCTTTTCTCTTTTCAAAAGTGTTGGGTACAAATACATCCAAATAAAAAATAAAAACTTAAATAAGACTAATTTGTTTGGAAATGCCACTTGGTTTGATATTTTGTATCTAATGCAATGACATTAACATATCTGTAAGTGTGATCTAAGTCCACATACTTTTTAGGGCCATTATGTTTTTTTTTTTTTTGTCCTTGGTGCTTACATAGGTGATAAGATAGGGGGTAAATACCTTTCTGAAGGTCTCTCCCTCCACTTTCCCTGCATTGTGGGCTTTCTCCTCAATGGCTCTGGCCTTTGCTGCACGTCTGCGTATCTTCACCAAACATGACACCAAGCACACCAAAAGCAGCAACACCAATAATGCTACCAAAGCGATGATGGCAATGTAGAGTTTAGGAAGCGTGTATGCTGAGAGAGAAAGATATACACCATTAGCTGCAAAGCATGAAAATTAAATTAACTGGCCTGAGTTTTCCAAAAGCATCGTAAGCCAAAGTTGATCATAGAGACCATTGGTGGCAATTGTTCTACGATTAACTTAGACTTACAATGCTTTTGGGAAATGCAGCCCCTGTTCTTTTAATTTCCCTTTGTCATCTTGCATCTCCTCACCTTCCATCTCCAGGTGGACATCAGACACCAGGAATCCCTGGAGGTCAGTCACACTGAAAACTCCGGCATCACTGGCCTTCACATCTGTCAGAAGACACATGGAATTCTCCAAAGAGAGGCGACCTTCGAGATCCAGGTTAGGAGGAAGTATGAGCTCTCCATTCTCCATAATCAAATACTTATGGTTATCAGACTTAGGGGTGTACACCAGGCGAGCTAAGGAGCTATCTAAGTGCAGGTTTACTTTCAGAGTGCCACCGTATGAAAGGGTTTCAAATATCTGATGTGCTGGAAGAAAGAAAAAACGAAGGACAGAAAGAAAGAAAGCTGTTACTGAAGCCAAGGTGTTCAGCTATTTTCTAAGATGATGTCATGTGAGTGAAGAAAGAAGAAAAATAATCGGTAGGGAGGAGAAAGCATACATTTTTTAGGGAATAAATGCTGCAGACAGAGAATGGCAGACTCCATTACATCTGTCTTTCTTCCTGTCTTTGTACTTCCCCTAATATCCTTTCTTTGAATCCGAAGAGTTCTCCCCACTCTTAAAAATAAAGGTTATTTATTGGCATCAATGGTTCCATGAAGAATAGTGGAAAAAGTGGTTCTTCTATAGCATCACTACAAAAAAAACCTTTTGGAAGCTTTATTTTCAGCACTGTATATTCCATAAAAACAACCTCCAGTCTTATATTTCACACCTCAGTTTTTATGCCTCTCAGGATACCTGATTCTGATTGGTCAGTTGCAGTTTTTGTATAATGACAACTAAACTTTTTATTTGACTATTGTCCCCGGGAAACAATCTTCGGGACTAGTTTCAAATATCTCATATCACTCTGCGGCCTCTTTGTTTTCTCTTAATCAAATAATTTCACCACAAATCAATATTTCCATTTATTTATAGCCATGTACTGTGCGGTAAAATGTACAGCTATTCGGTTATTAGAACAAAATAAATCCTTTCAGGATGATACAAGACCCTTCCGCTTCACATTGTGGTCCTATTCACCTTCTCAGTGTTTATTTTAGTGACTGGCAGACTTTACTTTATTATCCTATTACATTTCTCCTTCAAAATGTTTTCTATAGCTACTCATATATTATTAAAATGTTACTTAAATGTTATTTCAACAATAGTGTCATGTCATGTCATGAACCCCTGAAAATGTGCTTCCTGCTCTCACCTTTAACATTCAGGCAGATCTTCTTCTCGACTTTCCCAATGGAATCGCTGAAGGTGTAACTACCTTCATCAGCCCCTGTAACGGCAAGCAGAGTGAACTTTTGAGCAGTGATCTTGATGCGCTCCTGGTAATTCTCCTTGGGTGTTCCATTCAACAGTTCCACAGCCGGTAGTAAAGTCTGATTGGCCTCTACTGAGCTGTGACGAAAGCCCACACGCACCGTGTCTGAGATATCATTGAGCGAAACGTGAAAATCTGATCCATAATAAACAATGTCCTCATTAAAGCAATCTGGAAAAGAAAAAAAGAAAAGGAATCCATGAGATTTTTACATTTTCTAAGAAGAATAGAATTGCAGGTCAAAAATATGTTGTAAGAACTATTAGATAAACTATTATCTAACATAACATTGAACATGAAACTGCTAGTTCTAAACAGATCAAATGTCGGTTCCCTATAAAGTCTATATTATGTCCTGTGTCCAGAAGTAGACAGTTAGACGTTCTCAACTGTATCCAACAAAATCATACATTATTTTATTATTGCCTATTGGCATTCAAATAATTGTAGTTAAACACATTTTAATTATTAAATTTGCAAATCCAGTTTGTGCAATAGCCTGTTAATAATGTAAACCCTTAATATCCTTTATAATAAAAAAAACAAAAGTTTTGACAGCCAAAATGTACTGTAATCTTTTGCATCTTTTCTACAGTATGGTGAGAAGACACGTAATTTCATTCCACTTTCTCAATTCCTGTTGACTGCATGTGTCAAGATGAACCTTCAATACTGTTACCCACGTTATAGTAAGAAACAATTATACAATAAGAAACAAGTGCAAATTTGGTAAAACAAAAAAACTATGTAGCATCTACTGAGTGACAGCTTAATTTAGACTAAACTCAGCAGTATCTTCAGTATTATTATTCAGCAGTATTTGCAGAATTCTTTTTTCAGTTTTATTATTACATTATTGTTTATTTAATGTTTATTAAAAAATTAATAGAAAATAAAACAGCTCATATTAACAGCTCAGTTTGACCTTTCCTGAGCTCTTCCTTACTCAGACCAGTTGTTGAAAGAAAACAACCGAATTGCACCCCATTAACCCCTGTAGCGATTCTTAGCTCAAATAAAGGGAATATAATTTTAATAACTGGTCATGAATATGTCCAGTGATCGCATACATAGATTAAAATTACCCGTAAAGGGAATAAGTTGCCAATGGTCTGTATGGACAACTGAATACAACGAATTATAGTCAGTCCTCCATACAGGTAGGCAAAATTAGATCAATTGTACTATCAATAATCAATCACAACGAATTATAATTAAACATTAATATGTCAATTGTCTAAAATAGATCGATTGTCAGGATAACCTTTCATGGGGTCAATTTATTATCGAATAATCTGCTTTGTCCAGCAAAACTGATCGTCCGATCTTCAACAAACCTCATGAAAGTTATTATAGACATTCAAGAGAAGTTATTCCTCTGGCCATGAGTATTAACTTTCCTGTTTTATAAAAATACTATTTAAGTATCGACAAATTTGTAAAGCTCGTAGCTTGATCGAACATTTAAGGGACCTCGTAATATGAGCAACAGACAGAGTCAATCAAATGAATATAATGTATTTAACCCTCTGGGGTCCAAGGTGTTTTTGGGGTCCTTGAGATGTTTTGACATACTCTGACATTTGTGCTTTTTTCAGTTGCTTATAAACAAATTACTGGCAAAGGTGTAATTACACTCTATTTAGCACAAACAGGGCTACCATAATATGTTATCAACATGTATGTACATGTTTGTATTTTTGAGAGAATATTGTTTATGCGTGGTTATTGAAAAAACTAAAACTTAAAGTTTCTGAAATAAGGCCACAAAACACATACTAAATATGTGTCCACAAGACTTTTGACGAATGGATGTTGTCGCCTAGAGTTTTTTCTTCAAAATGATCTGAAAATCATCCTGCCTTATCATTCACATAAAACAATAGATTGGTTTAAATTTAAAAATGACACTTTTTGTTTGGAAAGGCAATATGCGCAGGGGTGTGACCTGCTGTGATTCACACCCGAGAAGACAATGGGCCCGCATAATGAGCGCATAATGGGGCTGCATACTAATGACCCTTTCATTCAGGTGTGTCACTGAGCCACAAGAATGCAATGACAATATATATATATATATATATATATATATGCCTATATAATACAAAATTGGTTCACAGTTCCAATTATTTATTTATTTTTCAAATTGTGCTTGCAAATTGTATAATATCTGGGGTCCAAGGTGTTTTTGGGGTCCTTGAGATGTTTTGACATACTCTGACATTTGTGCTTTTTTCAGTTGCTTATAAACAAATTACTGGCAAAGGTGTAATTACACTCTATTTAGCACAAACAGGGCTACCATAATATGTTATCAACATGTATGTACATGTTTGTATTTTTGAGAGAATATTGTTTATGCGTGGTTATTGAAAAAACTAAAACTTAAAGTTTCTGAAATAAGGCCACAAAACACATACTAAATATGTGTCCACAAGACTTTTGACGAATGGATGTTGTCGCCTAGAGTTTTTTCTTCAAAATGATCTGAAAATCATCCTGCCTTATCATTCACATAAAACAATAGATTGGTTTAAATTTAAAAATGACACTTTTTGTTTGGAAAGGCAATATGCGCAGGGGTGTGACCTGCTGTGATTCACACCCGAGAAGACAATGGGCCCGCATAATGAGCGCATAATGGGGCTGCATACTAATGACCCTTTCATTCAGGTGTGTCACTGAGCCACAAGAATGCAATGACAATATATATATATATATATATATATATATATATATATATATATGCCTATATAATACAAAATTGGTTCACAGTTCCAATTATTTATTTATTTTTCAAATTGTGCTTGCAAATTGTATAATATCAAATGTAAACATTTCTAGTAATTGTGCAGTTAATTCTCATACTGTTTTTACAGAAAGTTTGGGAATATATCCCAAATGTGTCACTAATAAAACACAATACAAATAATTTAAAGAGGAGGCTTATATTGAGCTTTTAAGATTTATTTATATGTAGCCTACATATATTTTTGCTATTTTAATAAAAAGGTTACAATTACAGCAACAATTAAAATTAACTATATTTCAAATGTAATCTTTCTTTGTATATACTAAAGTATACATTTTATCATACATATTTCACAGTTGCGGATTGATTAGTTTGAATATAGCCTACAATCGAACAAACACTATAATAACATCTTAGCAAACAAGCTTATTTGATGTGGCAGTATTTTACAGTAAAAACGACATCTTGTCTTTCAAATGTAACATATCGTTTTTATGATTAGGACATATAAATGTTAATTTGCAGTTTAATACGTTGCTTATACAAAAATATTTTATTTCAACATATTTCAGTCGATTTTTACTCATCTCAGTATTGGAATATAGTTAGGTAAAAGCTGTTCATTCATTCACACACAAAAATGCGATTCATATTCAAACAGTCTTTTTGTTTACAGACACTATTTCATATCGTGATTAGAACAAAGCACTTGAAAATAAAGAATGTACCTATTCCTCAGCTGGATCCGTTGCTCCTCCAAATGAAACTACCTGCACTTCTGAGGTAATTTTTTCCAGGATTATTATTAAGATAGTATTATTCCTCACAGCGTCGTAAATATGAGTCTCTTTCGGTGGGTTATCCAGCTGATGTGGGCATGGATCGCCTCAGAGCATTTGTGTTTGAATAGAGCGCACGCTCCGTGGGTGTGGTCAAATTAACTTTAATGACCTGAGACAAGAACGACTATCATCTCTCTCTTTTCGTACAGATTACATAAAATGAGAAAATTTGTTTTTTATATAAATTACTTCATTTAAAAGAAGATAATTCAGGCTTCATGCCTGTGTGCCTGTATACCTGTTTGACTGAGTATTTGCAGAGTTACAGTTCATTTTTCGGACGTGTTTCAGAATGGACTTCACTAACAGAGAGAACGCAGAACGCGCATCATGTTTATTTTTCTTTATTAGGCGAAAAGCACAACACTTTGTTTTTATTATGAGGTTTCACAAAAAAAATACAAACTTAACAGGATCGAATGATGTACAACACTTATATGTAAGATCAAAATCAACAGAGTAATTTGAGTCTCTTTTGCACTGATAAGGAAAAAAGTGAGCTGGTATCGCCGGCGAGACCGCCGACCCCAGAGGGTTAATAAAGGAAATGTCTCAGGTTACGACTGTAACCATAGTTCCCTGAGAAAGGGAACAAGACGATGCGTCAACGACGCTTTGGGAACGCCCCCAGCGTGAATGCGTCTGAAGCATCTATGTCAACTAGTCCAATGGAAAGAATGAGCGTCACGGGCGGGTGACGTCATGACCAGGAAGGGATAAAAGCACATCCGGTGCAAACCGGCATTAGCTTTGAAAAATTGCCGAAGCAAGCCGATCACAGGGATGCAGGAAGTATGGCAGGGTGACGCATCGTCTCGTTCCCTTTCTCAGGGAACTATGGTTACAGTCGTAACCTGAGACGTTCCCTTTCGAGGGAACTCGCGATGCGTCAACGACGCTTTGGGAACGAGAATACCCAAAACGCCAGAATTCCAAGTACCTGAGTGTTAGTCTGTTGTAACTAAGCACTAAGCACCTGAGAACCTGGGGCAGCATCCAGGTCTAAGCTGTAAAACCTAACGAATGTGAGCGGTGAGGACCAGCCTGCCGCATCACAAACGTCTTGAAGAGAAACCCCAAATAGTAAGGCTTTAGAGGCCACCATACTCCTCGTAGAGTGAGCTCTGACCTCCAAAGGACACGGCTGGTCAGAGTACCCGTATGCAAGTGCAATAGCCTCAACTATCCACTTACTAACCGTCTGTTTAGAAGCAGGAAGACCTATCTTAGGTGATCCAAAGCAAATAAGTAACTGGTCGGACTTCCTCCATGAAGATGTCCGATGAACATAAGTGTCCAATGCTCGCACTGGACACAAGAGGTTCAGCCTTTCCTGGTCCGCAGATGTAAAAGTAGGAGGACAGAAAGCCTGCAGCACAATAGGCCTCGGAATCAAGGTCGGCACCTTAGGGACGTATCCCTGTTTTGGATATAAGAATGCCTTGACCATCCCCGGCGCAAACTCAAGGCAAGTGGGGGAAACCGAAAGGGCCTGAAGATCTCCAACTCTCTTAAGGGACGAAATAGCTAGCAGAAAGATAGTATTAAGGGTAAGAAATTTTTCTGAAACCGAATCT